ATGTAACAGGAAAAAATTACATTTGAAAAGTAACAAGGTTTGTATCTCAACAGAGTCAATTCTGGCTTCGCTTTTGCTTAGCACGTTAAGCACTGAACTTTAAAATGGGTTCGACCTCATCTTACCTTACTGCCCCCGACTTATACTTGAGTTTTATCGCTGCGACTTATCCGCGCCATCGTACTGCAAATGACCATAGCCATCATCTCTTGGCTCCACACAAACTGGTTGCGCCTGACCGATTTTATTCCATACGCCTTGAGATGGAGCGGCTGCAAATCAAGTATGTGTAAAGACTCTCTATAGATAAGTACCATACGTTTATCATGCATTTGCGGTACTTTTATAAACATTTTTCTCGCTTTACTTTCTTTCTTCTCTCCCTTCTTTTTCTCCTGATTATTATTGTCTGACCTACACTGAGAACTTGATTCAAACAATGCACTTTTGATATCAATCTCATAATTTAAAAAATAAAATACATTTGTACCATGACTACCTTTTTATGTGGATATGGTCACTTGGAAATACAAAATTTCTTTTCGAGTGTTGTAAAATATTTCAAATATTTTACAACACTCGAAGATAAATTTCGTATCTCCGTACGGCCATGTAATATTCTCTATATATTTTACCTCCGTAGAGCGTTCTCACTCACGTGGGCAGCAGCCATTCAGATTCATTGAAAACGCTCTATAGAATGAAAAATGCACCCGTGGGACATATTGCTGGTGCCAATTTCTTCAGAATGGCCGATTATAACATGTGCGTATTGATAATTGGTCAAGTGACCTTGCCAGCGCATAAAAAAAAAAATATCGTGGAGCAAAGTAGCTACCAGAAATGAATGCGTGATGATGAAATTAAGTAACATTGCCAATATTGAGGCCACTGACGTCAAAGCGCGAGATGTTTCGTTTTTGAAAAAATAAAAATAAAATAGCAAGACATGTAAGGAAAATGCTGCGGGATGGCAAGTTCCCATTCATACAAATCGTTTAAAATTTTCAAACGATCGAACTGTCCTGAAATCTCGCAGTAAAATAATAACTTTTTTGCATATCCCGTTTGGAAATTGAATATATGAAGAGGCCCAGAGAGTTATACGTTCATGTTAGCAATCGGTCCAAGATGTGGTTAGCTTTGAATTGAAGCTCGTACTCACTGGGTACAAAATTGAAAGAAAAAATAACATTGAAAGTAAACTTTTTTCTTAATACTAAGATCTATTGCTCGCTTTATCTGCTAAACAATTGTTAAAAATATAAAATTACACCCACGGTAGGTTTTTGGTCACATATGCCAAGCAATTTTTTCATAAAGATTTCAATAGTATGGAAAAAAAATGACCGTCAACCGTCTTCGCTGTTTGACTTTAAATTCCATTTACATTACTAATAATTTGCCCTTAAGAAAATAAAATTATCATCGAACACAAAGCATTATAGTATTTATTTTAAAACTTGTTTCTCGAAGCCATACCTCGCCAAGGCCACGCAGAACAAAGTTGCAAATAATTTGCCCCCAATAGCATCAAAACGCAAGAAAACGTCATCTTCTTTTCCATTTTTCTGAAAGAGAATTGGTAAACTAACTACAACATATATTTTCCTTTAAGGTGGGTCACAACAGTTTCCAGAATGTTTTAGCACGTCTACTTTGATAGCAACTCTTTTTTTCAGTTTACAGGACAGTACTGATATCAAACAAATGTCCTAACATTGGTAAACAAGTTATAGTAATCAGAGCCACCCTAAATTTTTGGTAAATTCAACGTGGCTCCAGTCTGAATCTGCTTCCACAAATTTTATTAAAGTTGACAAAAGCTTGCATCTTAACAAGCTGATCACAGTTTGATAATTAATTAGACATAAGAGCTCTCCCGACTCGTTTTCAATTCGTCTTCATCGTTTTTCCTTCCCAATCCTATCTGACACTAGTGATATCTTAGGGCTCGACTA